CTTTCTGTCTCTCTGTCTCTCTCTGTCTGTCTGGCGAGCGCACACGCCCTATAGCAAAAACCTCTTCAAAATAAATAAATAAATAAATAAAATAATTAAAATGAAATAAAATAGTTCTTAAAAAAATGTTGGTTTAAGAGACTAATAAAACCAGGGCCAGCAGGTGGCGTGGTGGTTGGGGGTACTGACTCCCACATGGTTGACCATGGTTTGAGTCCCAGACCGGGTGGCTTGCTTTCTCTCTCTCTTACTCTCACTCTGACCCTCTCTGATAAAATTAAAATAGATAGGTAGGTAGGTAAATAAATAAAGTTAAATAAAATAATTATTAAAAAAATAAATAAAGACTAACGAAACTGAGAGCAGTAGATGGCATAATGGTTATGTTGCTGGACTCCCATGTGGTCAACCGCAGTTCAAGTCCTGGACCCGGTGGCTTGGAACTCACTCCAGGTGTGGGTGTGTGTGTGGGTGCGTGTGCATGCGTGCCCATTCAAAATCCCGAGGAGAATGGAGAAAAAGGGATGGCAGTATGGCCATCCCCTGGGGAGTGATTTCTCACTGTCTCTGTCTCTGTCTCTCTGGATAGTGTATATGCCCCATAACAAAAATCTCTAAAAAAAGAAAAAAAAGACTCATAAAACCAACAAGCTGAGCCAGCCAGGTGGTGTGATGGTTAAAGTGGCTGGTCCTCACACTGTGAGCTGTACAGTTTGAGTCCCAGGCCCAGGTGCGTGTGTGTGTGCGTGCTCAAAATCCCAACGGGAGAGTAGAGGAGAAGGGCTTGTGGCATGGCCATTCCCCTAGTAGTGATTTCTCACTACCCCAACCCTTCCCTATAGCAAAACTAAAAACAAAAAAAAAAAACAATAAAAACAAAACCCCAACAAGTGTCTAGTGAGGTTAAAAAAAAGATTTTGCCTGAGGATATGTGAGCTTGCCAGAGACAGAGAGTAAGAGAGAGCTTCTTCCCCATGGTGAGTGGCCATGCTGTAATCCTTTCTCCTCCATTTCTCTATCCTGTCAGGATTTTGGGCATGTAGGCACATATGCTTGGCATGTTTATTAAGCCATAAGGTCTGGGACTTGAAATGCACATTTGGCCACATGGGATCCAGCTCCTTAACTACCATGCCACAGGCTGGCATGAGATTTCTTTCTTTCTTCTATTTATTTATTTATTTATTTGCCATAGGGGATGTGTGCTCACGGGGAGGGAGGGAGGGGGAGGGGGGGAGGGACAGAGATAGAACTTATCTTCCAGGGGGGATGACCACACTGGAATCTCTTCTCTTCCATTTGCCTCTTGGAATTTTGGGCACACAAACATACATTCCCAGTGTGGTTTTTGAGTCACTGGGTCCAGGACTAAAACCACATAGTTGGCCATGCAGGATCCAGTCCCTGACCACCATGTCACCTGCTCGCCCGAGATTTTTTATTTTTGAAGAGGTTTTTTTCTATAGAACACGTGCTCTCACCAGAAAGACAGAGAGCGAGAAATCACCCTCCAGGGGGAATGGCCACGCCGCAATCCCTTCTCCTCCATTCTTCTCTTGGGATCTTGGGCACACATGCACATGTGCCCGGCGTGAGTTTAAGCCACCAGATCTAGGACTTGAACCATGGTTAACTACATGGGAGTCCAGAGACATAGCCATTACACCAACTGCTGGTCCCAAGATTTCTTTTCTTTAACCCATATTCTTGAGGCATAATTTACATATAGTGAAATGCACAGATCTTAAATATACAGAATTCACTTTTGTCAAACATGTACATTAATGTACCTACACTCGCATGATTCTTCCATCAATTTTTATTGTTTTTTAGAGAGAGATTTTTACTATAGGGCGTGAGAGCTCACTGGAGAGACAGAGACAGAGAGACAGAAAGCAAGAAATCACCTCCCGGTTGGATAGCCATGCTGCAATTCCCTCTCTTCCAGTCTCCTCTCGGGATTTTGGGCATGCACCTGACGTGAGTTTCAATCCACTGGGTCCAGGACTCAAACCGCGGTCAACCATGTGGGAGTCCAGCAATGTAAGCATTATGCCATCTACTGGTCCCCATCAGTTCTTCTATTTATGTATTTATTTTTATTTTTCATTCTCTAGAGGGTACCACCAGAGAGAAAGAATGAGAAGGAAAGAGAGAAAACATTGTCTAATGGAGTGTGGTCACACCATAGTTCTGTTTCCTCCTTTTCTGGAGTCCAGCTTATCAGGACTTTGGGCACTCATGCACATGTACCTGTTGTATTTTTTTTTTTGTGGGGGGAGAGGTTTTTGCCATAGGTCGTGTGCGCTAGCCAGACAGACTGAGAGAGACAGAGAGACAGAAAGCAAGAAATCGTCCCCTAAGGGGGATGGCCACGCAGCAACCCCTTCTCCTCCATTCTCCTCTCAGGATCTTGGGCACACATGCACATGTGCCCGGCGTGAGTTTTTAAGCCACCGGGTCTGGGACACAAACTGCGGTCGACTACATGGGAGTCCAGCGACATAGCCATTATGCTAACTGCTGGTCCCTACCTGGTGTACTTTTTAAGCCACTGAGTCTGGGACTTGAACCACATGGTCAGCCATGTGAGATCTGGTTTCCTTAATCACTAGGCCAATAGCCCAAGCCAATAGTTGATCCTATCTAACAGGGCTAATGTGAGAATCAAATGAGATAATATCTATAAAACCATTTTATAAACAACATTAAGTGTATTTTATTTTTATTTATTTAAATTTTGTTTAGTTTTGTTTTGCTATAGGGCATTCACAATTGCCAGATAAGACCAAAGAGAGAGAGAGACACGGACAGAGAAAGTGAGAAATCATCTCTCCAGGAGGGACTGCTGTGCCACAACCCCTTCTCCAGTTTCCTCTTGGAATTTTTGGCATGTATCTGGAATGTCCTCCAGGTCAGGGGGTCTGGGACTTCAACTGCACAGTTGACCACATGGGATCCAATTGCTTTAACCACCACACCACTGGCTAGCTCTTAAGTGCTTTTTAAATGGCGATTAACATGTGAAACTTGAAGGTTAGGGGACCTTGAGATTAGTGAGTTTTCTTCTAGGGCATTGGGACTTAATAGGAGAAACACTGAAGGGCATTTAGCATACCTTGATGAGTTGGTTATTCTTCACATAGTGCAAAGTGTTTGATCGATTACCACCAGCAACCACAGGTGGGTAGGCTAAGATATCTGCACCACGAGCTTCAAATTCAAACTGAAAAATAACAGCAAATTATGACACAAAGGATTTCTGCAGGCTGCCCCAGCCCATGCTCCCTTTAACAGCCCTTTCAGAGATTTATAGAAAACTATTTATCATTTCTAACCAAATTTTTTATGCTGTAATTTTAGTCTATTTCTTATTTAAAGAGAGAGTTTTGCTATAGGGTGCATGGCCTCACTGAAGACAGAGAGAGACAGAGAGCGGGAAATCATCCCCCCACCCCAGGGAGGTGGCCACACCACAATCCCCTCTCCTCCACTCTCTTTTCGGGATTTTGGGCACACATGCACGGTGTACGTTTTAAGTTACTGGGTCCAGGACTTTGGACTACATGGGAGTCCAGCAATGTAACCATTACACCATCTGCTGATCCCCCAGTCCATTCCTTTTATTCTCACCCCCCATATTATAATCTATGCTACAAATACTGTTTCATTTCCACCAATCCTGTTATTCAATCTATTATTAAATGTTCTCTGCCTCCTGTGACTTTCTTTTCTTTTTTAAGGAATTATTCAGTTATTTAATTCCATTTGTTATGATTATTTTTTAATTTGACCAGAGAGAGACAGTAAGAGAGAAAGGGAAAGTGAGAAATCAGGCTGCCAGGTCTGGGACTTAAACTGTGGTCAGCCATGTGGGAATCCAGCAACTTTAACAACCCCACCACCTGCTGGCCACCCATGACTTTCTTTTTTTTTTCTTTTGGAGAGGTTTTTGCTATAGGGCACGTGCGCTCACCAGCCAGACAGAGACATAGAGACAAAAAGCAAGAAATCACCCCCCAGGGGGGAATGGTCACGCCGCAATCCCTTCTCCTCCATTCTCCTCTCGGGATCTTGGGCACGCACGCACAGGCGCCCGGCGTGAGTTTTAAGCCACCGGGACCGGGACGCGAACCGCGGTTGACTACGTGGGAGTCCAGCGACATAGCCATTACACTAACTGCTGGTTCCCTATGACTTTCAAATTAAGTCCAAAAGAGGATACAGAAAACGCATGAAGGGGCCAGCAGGTGGCATTATGGTTAATGCACTGGGCTCCCACATGGGCAATCATGGTATGCGTCCTGGACCTGGCAGCTTGCTTCTTCACTTTTCCTCTCTCTCTGGTGAGCACATATGCCCTATAGCAAATTAAATAGCAATAATAACAGTAAAGATGAAATATAAAAACAAAAAAGAAAATCTATGAAAAAGGCAGAGTCCAGAGATACAATCACTGAAGGTTACTGTTTGTTTATTCTAAACCTAAACACTGAAATACGGCTTATATTTTTAACAACAGCTCTAATAAGTAACTTCCTTTTTTTGGGGAGAGTTTTTTTTGTTTTGTTTTGTTTTGCTATAGGGAGCATGCGCTCGCCAGAAATACAGAGACAGAAAGCAAGAAATCACCCCCGGGGGAGGATGGTCATGCTGCAATCCCTTCTCCTCTATTCTCCTCTTGGGATCTTGAGCATGCAAGTACACATGCCTGGCGTGAGTTTAAGCCACTGGGTCTGGGACTTGAACTGCGGTCGACTACATGAGAGTTCAGCGACAGCCATTACACCAACTGCTGGTACCTAAATTAGTAGTTTCAACTTTTCAAATAGTTACCAAACTAAACACCCTGAAAAGATGAAAAAAGCCTGCTAGGCAAATTGTTAACTCTACAAATATTAGGATGTTTGAGGATGGAGCTGGAGATGGGTGAGTATCTACCGCTATTTGCAGCACCTTAATTTTTCTTCCTTTCTATTCACTTGAACAGTATTACTCTCATCTCACATGAAATCTTTCCTTCTTCATTTTTTTTCTATTTTGTAATCCTTTTCCTTTAGATGTGGAAATGTATGCTTTAAACTCATCCAATTGACTAGTAACAGTTAAGAACAAAATCCCTGGGCCAACAAGTAGTGTGGAGGTTAATCTATGGGTCCCATATGGCTGACTGCAGTTTGAGTTCTGGACCCTGTGGCTTGAGAATCACACTGGGCAAATGTGTGTGTGTGCCCAAGATACCAAGAGGAGAATGGAGGAGAAGGGACTGCAGTGTGGCCATCTCCTGGTGGGGGAGGTGTTTCTCACTTTCTCTCTCTCTGTTTCTCTCTTGTGAGTGCAAGCACCCTATAGGAAAAACTTAAATTAAAAAAAAAAAGAAAAGAACCTTATCATCTCCAATGTCATGACAGTTACTCCTATGAACACCAACTATATGACATCTACAAGTCAATGAAACGACATGAATCTCCAACCAGACCTTTCCAACATCTGAGACTCACCTTAGCATAAAGAAAGGCTTCCTCCACAGGGGCTTTACTAGCAAACATGGTCTCTATGAAAGCCTGCAAAGAGAAAGAAAGGCAAAATATAGCTACATTTTAACTTTGCTGCTTACTCAAAACTTTCAAAGTACTGGAGTAACTTTCTTCCTCCCCAATTTTGTCAAACGGAAGTTGACTCAGTGGGCATAATAATAGTATTTCTAAAGGGGGAGGGGGACCGCTACTTTCAGGAATGTATTTGATCAAAGATGGACTTAGTGGAAGGGTCCCCAACCTTCCCAGTTAATATACACTAAATTTTTGAATAAGCAACATGGGGCCAGCAGGTGGCATGATGGTCAAGGTGCTGGATTCCCATATGGATGACTGCAGTCCAAGTCCCAGACCTGGTGGCTTGAAAATCACAACAAATAAATAGATAAATAAATGTTTAAAAATATATATATAGGGACCAGCAGATGGCATAGTGGTTGCGTCATTGGACTCCCATATGGCCAACCACTGTCTGAGTCCCAGACTCGGTGGCTTTAAACTCAGGCTGGGTGTGTGTCCAAACTCTTGGGAGGAGAATGGAGGAGAAGGGATTGCAGTGTGGCTATCCCTTGGGGGTGATTTCTCACTTTCCCTCTCTCTCTGGTGAACCCAGGCTAAAACCTCTACATATAGAATAAGCAATGTTGTGGGTACCAGCAGCTTGAACCATGCCAATCTGTGCATGTCCCGAATCCCAATGGACATAAAGAAATGGAAGAAAAAGACCTGCAGCAAGACCACACCCCAGGGGGTGGGGGTTGTCTCTCTCCCTCTACCCTGTCTCTGGTTAGCACACAGGCCTTTGGTAATGAAAAAAAAAAAAGCAACATCAAAACTGCTATTTTGAATGTATCCCCTATCAAATTCATGCTAAAAGTGAATTCCCACTGTGGTAGTATTAAGAGGTGAGTCCTTTGGGAAGCTAATAAATCACTAGGGTCCTCAAAGAGATCACAGACTTTATAAAACGACTCGAGGGAGTAAGTTCAATTCCTTTTTCTCTTCTACCATGTAAAGTCACATGACTTCTGTCCCTTCACCCTTTCCGCCACGTGAGAGGACCTAGATTGCATCTATGAGGAATGGGCTTTCACCAGGCACCCAACCTGCCAACAGTGTAATGTTGGACACCCTAGCCTCCAGAACTGTGAGGAAATAAATTTCTGTTCATAAATTATCTAGTCTCATGCATTTTGTTATAGCAACACAATTAACTAAGACAGAAACACATGCAATATCTATATAACATGATGTTTTTATAGTAATGGAATGTATAAGGATATGACTTCAGTCATCAAGGCATTATTATCCTTATTTTGGCTGTAGAAACTAGGGCTTTAGCAAGGTTTAGTTACATGGTCAAAATGACACAATTTGGCATTTAAATCTGGGTTTGTGTGTTTTCGCCTATACTATCCTGCCTCCTTAGAAACAGACTTGGAAACTAATTACATGTAAGGGTTAAGGAAAAGCAATTGTCTAGGATAACTTCCATATTTCTATATATAGTAGCTGGGTAGATGCTAATATTATCACCCATGAAAAAGAATTACATGAGGTTGGGACCAACAGATGGCATGGTGGCTAAGGGTGCTGAACTCCGATATGGCCAACCACGGTTAGTCTCAGACCTGGAGGCTTGCTTTCTCACTTTCTCTAGGCAAATTTAAGTAAGTAAATAAATAAATAAAGTTAAATTAGGAAAAAAAAAATACATGGTGCAGGACAGAGCACAAATTAAGCAAATAGGGAAACTCGGGTAGAGACGTCCAGAAGGCAGGCTGTATAATCAGCCACAGATAGGAGCGATCTGACTTGGAGAAAGTTTCCCTTTACACACTACACATTTTATCAAGTCTCTGTAATAGTTACTTATATTTGGTTTGCTCCAAAAGAAGATAAATTTTGGTTCGGTCCAAACAATACAAATGCAGTATAATTTTTAAGAAAATTACATTGCTTGGGACCAGCAGTTAGCGTAATGGCTATGTTGCTGGACTTCCATGTAGTCAACCATGGTTCGCATCCCAGACCCGGTGGCTTAAAACTCACACCGGGCACGTGTGCGTGCATGCCCAAGATCCTGAGAGGAGAATGAAGAAGGGACTGCGGCGTGACCATCCCTCCTGGGGGGTGATTTCTCGCTTTCTGTCTCTATGTCTCTCTCTGTCTGTATGGCGAGCCTATGCACCCTATAGCAAAAACCTCTCAAAAAGAAAAAAAAAAAGGCCTTCTCTCCCTGTCATGGAAGGACACAAGAAAGTAGTATCTATAAGCCAGTAAGTCTTTATAATAAACCGATCATGCTGACATTCTTATCTTGGATTTCCAATATGCATAAGTGCGAGAAAATTACTTTTTGTTGTGTGGGCACACAGACCACAGCGTTTTGTTACGGCAGCCTGCGTGGACTAAGGCAACATTCATGCTCCCAACATGTGACGAAATGAATCTTGCTTGGCCCTCACCTAAGGAGGACAAAAGATGCAGGCATTATCCTCCCTGGACCCCTACTTGTGAGAACTGTGACTGGTTGTGATACAAATACTTACTTTTATTTGTACATTGTATTTATTTTTTTCTATAATAAACTGTAGATTTATAAGAATTGTCATTTTGGGTTCTATGACTCTTCTTTAACAATCAAACTCTGTACCTGCCACTATAAGTACAGTCATCATTGGAAATAGAATTAATTTATGTTGTTCCAAAGAGAAATGATTAAGATTGACAGTAAAAGATCTTTTTTAAAAAGAACTATTTTTAAATTTTTATTTATTATTACTATTTTAAAATTTCTGATAGGGCATGTGCACTCACCAGAGAGATACAGAGATAGAGAGAGAAAGCAAGTTGCCAGGTTCAGGACTTGAACTGCGGTCAACCATGTGGGAGTCCAACACCTTAACCACCAAGCCACCTGCTGGCCCCAAAGATTAACCTTAAAAGATTTACTTTGCCTCATAAGGTACTGCACAAGTCTCTAGATATATTCACTAAACATACTGAAGCAGATGAGAGGTTCGTCCACCTATAAGACTACAGTATTGTATTTAAGACATTAAGGTGCATTTTTCAGTTTGAAAAAAACTTTTCAATAGAAACTATACCTGTGATGTCAGCTTCCCAGCAATCTGCATTCGCTCAATTTCTGCAGGAGATTTGATCAGCCGGAGGCGCTGTACCAGCTGTTGAACACCCCGAACTTTGTTCTTGCTCCTGGCTTTAGCCTCAGTCAGAGGCTGCATGTACTCAGAATGAAGCTGCCCATGAGAGGGCCTCACCCAGTCGTACCAAAGCATGGTCGTCTCAGCTTAGAATGAGAAGCCAAAAAGTACATTTAAAATAAAATCAACAGCAACCACAAGAAATACCAACGGTCATAATGACTTGAATAAAACTATAAAGCCAGTAATGTAGAACTCTAAAGGTTTGAGTAAAACTCTCAGAACCAGCCCAGTCAGTGATGTGGTGGTGTTCAGGCAGCTGGATTCCACATAGCTGACTGTGCGGTATCAGTCTTAGAACAGGAGGCTTGGAAAACAGGCTGGGTATGTGTGTGTGTGCATGCACAAAATCCAGAAAGAAGAATGGAAAAGGGATTGCATAGGGCCAGTAGGTGGTGTGGTGGTTAAGGGCACTGGGCTCCCACATGGTCAATCAAAGTTTGAGTCCCAGAAGAAGCCACGGGCCTTCAGGACAAGGTTCCACACGGCTACTGTGAACTAGATTTTTAAGGGAATGAAGATTTTCTACTAATAATTCAGCCTCCAACAAACGAGCTAGCGCAGAAGAAGCCACGGGCCTTCAGGACAAGGTTCCACATGGCTACTGTGAACTAGATTTTTAAGGGAATGAAGATTTTCTACTAATAATTCACCTCCAACAAACGAGCTAGCGGCAGAAGAAGCCACGGGCCTTCAGGACAAGGTTCCACATGGCTACTGTGAACTAGATTTTTAAGGGAATGAAGATTTTCTACTAATAATTCACCTCCAACAAACGAGCTAGCGGCAGAAGAAGCCACGGGCCTTCAGGACAAGGTTCCACATGGCTACTGTGAACTAGATTTTTAAGGGAATGAAGATTTTCTACTAATAATTCACCTCCAACAAACGAGCTAGCGGCAGAAGAAGCCACGGGCCTTCAGGACAAGGTTCCACATGGCTACTGTGAACTAGATTTTTAAGGGAATGAAGATTTTCTACTAATAATTCACCTCCAACAAACGAGCTAGCGGCAGAAGAAGCCACGGGCCTTCAGGACAAGGTTCCACATGGCTACTGTGAACTAGATTTTT